GGGTTAAGTGTATGAACTGGGTGAATAATGCCAACCTTCCAACTTATTAACTAGATGTGTAACCTTGAGAAAGTCATTTAACCCTTCTAAGCTTCATTTCTCTTCATTTGAAAATTAGGGATAATATCTATGTGTCACAGGCTTCCATGAGGATTAAATGTACGTAAAGAGTATATCACAGTTCCTGGAACCAAGGGGATCTTCTCAAAATGGTTAGCTATTATTATTTTCATTATTATTTATGAAGTTAAGTGACTGAACGACTGAGACTTTCTGGGTCCTGGAATACATTATGAACTGGTAGAACTCACTTACTGCCTTGAAATATTTTTAAGTATTGTGTTAGAAACGCAAATGTGAGAGCAATCTTTTCTACCTCCCTTTGTTCATCCTTGAGTAAAAATGTACGCTCAATATTGAATGCCTTCTTGCAATTCATTCTTAACACAACAGCCAGAGAGGTCCTTTGAAACCAGAAGTTGAAGCTTGTCACTCCTTTGTGGCCCCACTTCTCACTCAAAAGAAAAACTAGAGCCCTCATTCATGGCTTCCAAGGTCTGTGTGTGATCTGGCCTGTTGGTGCCTCTCTCACATTGTTTCCTACTATTGCTTCGTCCACTCTGGCAAACAGATTTCCTTGCTGTTCTTTGGACACGTGAGGAGAACACTCAGCTCATAACCTTTGTACTTGCTGGTTCCTCCAGTAAGGCATCATTCCCCCAGTTACCTGCATGGCTCCTTCCCTGACATCCTTCAGATCTTTACTGGAATGTTTCCTTCTTAACCCTGCCTAAACTTGCAGTACATCCTTATGCGCTCTAGCACACTCTTCTTCCTTGCTCTTCATTTCTTGACTACATGTCCGATAAGCTATATTTTGTTTATTTGTTCGTTAGTGTTTTGTTTCTCATCTGTGTCCACCTATAGAATATAAACTTCGTAAGAGCAGAGTTTTTTATCTCTTTCATTCTCTGCCATAAGTCAGTGCCTAGGACAGTGCCTGGTACAGAGTAGATGCTCAATAAATGCTTATTGAATAAATAAATGCGGGAACTGCATACATTTTGTTGCTATAGACTAAGTGTATTTCCTCTAAGTCCAGTTATGGATGGCCTGTTGAAGCATGAAACACTCAGTTACAGGATGGTCTCTGTGGTTTTTATTAGTGTTTTGGGGGACCCATCAAACAAAAAGCCATATTTTGAAAAATATAATTCTTTCATAAAAGAGAAATTTGAATTTAACATAGTTTAAAGGGCAAGATTTCTGATTTTTAAAAAATAGTAGCAGTGGGACGTTACCCACAAATTGTCAACCCAGAAGTCAGATGGGAAGAAAAGCAAGAATTGTGCAGGTAGCTACAGAAAGATTAATCCCAATTTAGCTAAATTTGTGAAGGCTTGCACATTTCAGTGGTTCATAAGACATATCCTTGACAGGTTTTTATTAAATGCTCTCTCTCTTATTCTAGAAATGGAATCGTGAGAACCAATGCTGAGGTTAATTCAGCTCTGATATTGTGACTGCCATGCTGGTCTTTCTTTCATACAGTAAGTGTTCATCCAATAGGTTCACATGAAGTATTTACAAAACTATATATATATATATAGTTAGATAAGCACATTTCTGGTTTTGTGCCATGCACCTAGTAGGCATTCAACAAATGCTTTTTCAACTGTAGAAGAATAATATAATTGCCTTTCCCTCTTACTATTTTACCTTTTCTTATATTTTATACATTTGAAAAACAACACACTTGCAAAACTAAAATCTAATACACATGACTCATCACAAGATCTCTCCATATTTTTCAAAAAGAATATATATATATATATATATAAACCAACCCCAAAATACTAAAACTTAGAACTGCTTTACACTTAAATAGCAATTTACATCATATAAACACATTCATAATCTTCATGGTTAAAAGAGTTCAAAGGTTTATTACTGGCTTCTTATACCAGATAAATCTCACAGTTCCTAATAAGGCAAGAGAATTCTCATCCGACATGTGACTTGAGGAAGCAAACAGCCCATTTGGTTTCATTTCAGCACAAGTAGGAAGGCAAAGTAAGGAGTCTCACAGTAAAATGTCATCTAATAAATAATACGTTCTTGAAGTTATGGCCATTGTGCTCTTATTCCAGTGAAGAAATGATTCACATCCCAATTATAGATATGGCCTTCGAATCTGAAGAGTCTTCCAGAAGACTTGCATTCATTAACTCAAATATTTATTGAGTACCTGTATCATGTTAGGTACTGGGAAAGAAATAGTGATGATATAGTCCCTGCCCTCAAAGAGCTTACAGTCTAGAAGGCAAAACTTGGAGGAAGAACCAGCATGCCCAAAGGAAAACTCATAATCTGGGACTGCCTGGCTCAGAAGGCAAGTACAAGAAGGTATAGGTATGTCCCTGGGAGCCAGGGCCTTACTCAGGTTTCATCAAGTCAACTATCTAGGAGCTCGGGCAATCTAAGTCTGGCAAAATCTTAGCAATACATTTCCTGCCTCAAGTTCCCATGAAAACGATAAATAAGCACCCAAGCTTAAGGAGGGTTCAAGGAGTCCATATGTAATGACCACGTCAGCATTCAGCACAGATGAGCTTCTCAAATGAGAAGCCATGTATCCTTCAAAAGAAAGGGGGCTTCACCTGATGTTGGCTTATCTCTGGGATTTGGCTCTCCCTTTCGACACTGTGGTGGGAAGTATTCTTTTCACACCCCAAGTTGGCATGGCTTGATTACCTTGAGTTCTCCAAGTCACGAACAGCACATAGAAAAATGCAGCAAATTCAAGCCAACACAATAGAGAGATATGCTGAGAACTTAATCCTCCAGCCTATTTACATAGGAACTGGTGCCAAGAAACTGCCACTTTCAACAAATAACACAATCTGGTAATTATCTGCAGAACTGTTCCAGCTGGTACTCCCCAAACTCACTTACAACTTAGCAAAGATTTCTCTTCAATGGAGAAGGTACAGGAAGAGCCAAGGCCAATATGGAGGAACTTATAGGTGTGGGGAAGGGTGAACTCAGAGAAAATCTGGCCACCTTGGATGATGAACAGGCAAAGCCAGGGAAGGAATAGCAGAGAGAATTAGCAGATGTCCCTGATACGCTCACACAGTTCAGAGACACACAGACACACAAACATTCACATGTCTATATCAAATACCTGAATGTTGAATTCATTCTGTGTGAAGTATAGTCAAATGGTTCTTTAGTCTTGCTTGGAAAGCAAGGTGAGTCTTTTTTGCAGGAATGTCTAGGATCTGGGCTGCTCATTGTTATTTTTCTCAGTTCCCCCAGTAACTGTCACTTGACAACGCTGAGTAACAATGGACTTGGTCGTACCTTCAGAAGGTCATTCATCTCACTAAGGTAGTTCTCCAAGGTCACCATTTATAATGATTCTCATAATTAGAACAAATTATTATTTCTTTTTACTTTCAGCCTTCTGACTATATTGCAAACACCTTGCAACCATTGACTAAGAATTGCTCACCTTCGCTGGGTAAGGCCCTGTGGCGTGTGCTCCATTAGTTAATGAAGAGCACTCCCTCTTATTGATACGTGTCTTCAGCCCCATATTATTGCTCAAGAGAGGGAGGGGAAGGAGAAAGCCAAGGACATGGGGAGCCAAAAAGAAAAGTTGCAAAAGGGATCTGGATGTTCAAACCCATTAGCTAAGTGTCTACGGGCTCACAGTCTTCCCAGACCGCAGGGCCCAAGCATAAGTCTCCAGGCACTCCAGGACCATCGCGTCATTGCAGAAGTCCCCAGGTCATTATTGCTCATAGTTCCTGAGCTGAGTTTTCTGTTTTTCTCTTACATCCTTCCTTTCTTATGTCTTTTTTAAACAAAAAACAAAAAACAAAAAAATAAAACATTTCTTTGGTTGGAAATCTAGGCAACACGCCTTTCACTTTGATGAGTTCATATGAGGCAGGAAAGAGATGATCAAAAAGAGGAAAGATGATAAGAATTAACATCTGCAAAAAAGATTTTCCCTGGATATTTTTTTTCTCTCTACATTTTCTTCTACAGTGTAACTTTTACTCTGTTTTGTGATTCCAGTGAAAATGTTTTTTTTGTAGTTCTTGTACATTATCTTGTTTATCTAACTTTGGCTCTAATCTGGACTTCTGAAAAGAAGTTCCTTTAGATATTAAACTCACTGTCCCTAATATTTTAAAAATTAAAAACGAGCTGACTTTGAAGTCTTGCTTTTGCTTCTTTCTAGGGACTAAAAGATCTTATTCATCTCTTTGTTCTGAGAATAAATCACTATCTTTGTCTTAACTGGCTAAATCAGTGGTTCTCAACCAAAGTCAGTTTTGCCCTCCTGGGGCCAGTTGGAAATGTCTGATGACATTTTTCATTGTCACAACTTTGGGGACAGGAGTGCTACTGGCATCTAGTGGGTAGAGGATACTGCTAAACATCCTACAATGCACAGGACAGCCAACTAATATACAACAAATAATTATTCAGCCCAAAATGTCAATTGTGCCAATTGAGAAACCATGGACTATAAGAATACAAGAGCAAACTCATCACCATCTCCTTTTCCCATTTATTTTTAAGCAATTGAGATAAAAATAAACAAGGCTGGACCCTGTCTTAAATAACTAGAAGTGAGCAGAGATGGCAATTGAAGTTTTTTTACCAATAACCCAGGTGGGAAAGGCAAAGATAGCCTTGGCATCAGGGAAATCATTCCCGAAGGAGTAAAAGGCCCCAGTATTACTCTTCTCACTGATTTAAACATTGCCAAGTCATGTGATTATGCAGTGATTAATCCTCCTGGATTTTGGAAATCCTCATTCTCCACTCAGTGGCTCCTAAGGGTCAGGTTAAACTTCCCAGCATCCTCTGGTTCATCCTGTCTGTCTGAGACCCTGGAGTTCATCTTAGCAACCTGCCCACCTCTTTTGATGAAGCCGTGTGGATGCTTATGTGCGAAGGATACGTCACCTTTTCCTAAATCATTTTACATATAAAAACATTTAATGCCCTCTGATTTTTTTTTTCTTTCTCTCAGCAAGAAGCACAGGGCAGCAAACCCTGTTCTTCTTGTAGTGGAAAAGAATTTCACAATACAGGCAAAAACAAATCACAACCGCATACAGCATCATAGTTCACAGAAAACTGTGTACATTTGTTCCCCATATAGAACATACTTCAAAGTAACAAAATAATTTTTCGACTGTAGTGTTCCTTCTTCCCGTTAGAAGTAGATTTTTCCCCCCATTGTGGTACATAAATATCAGAGAAAAATAGTCTTTGAAATATTTATGTCCAGAAGTTTTTGGTTTGTTATGATTTGGGGTACGTTCAGGTTGTGTTCCAAGTGTCAGCACCTTCAATTTTCATTTTCTCTCCAACCACGTGCATTCTTCCCAAACTTATATACCAGTCTTCGTCCATCAACACGTTCCAGAATTTCTCTTTTGTAGTAATATCTGTAACAAAGGACATTGTGTAAGGTGGCTCGTCAGACTAAGCCTGCCAGGGAAACAGCTGGTCGTGTGGCCTTCTCACGTTCAGAGACTAGAAACCGCTCACCTCATCGCTCGGCTGAGTTTTTCATAGGTCATACTGCTATTGTTTTTCTTTTTTCCCCATAGCTGAGCTACAGCCTCGGATTTCAAGAACCTGAAGATGCCCTCAGACCGGTCTTCCCACTTGATTAACCCTGGATTTTTGTCTGGGTTCAGGAGGATGTCACGGATGAATTCCCATAAGTGAGTCCCTCGTGGATCTGAGGAGAAGCAGAGACGGCATCTAGTAATGGCCCCAGTCACAGTGAATTAGAGGCAGAATGACCAAAGAGTTGGAGTATCTTCCATAGAGTAGGAGATACTCAGTTCTCCCCTACCCGCCAGCGAAGCCAGATCACAGAATTCCCAAATATTAGATTTTTTAAAAAGGTGTTTGAGAAAGAACTAGCACAAAGTTTTCAGTTTGCAAATCAGGAAATAGACACAGAGAATTTAAGTGACTCGGCGAGATTACACAGCTAACAAATGGCAAAGCCAAGTTGAAAGAATAGGTCTTAAGTGCCCTGCATCATGAGGAGTATCTTCTAAATATTGTTGACAAATTGCTGGGGATTCATTTCAACTTGTTGCTTCCCAAGGGAGCAGCTTTCAACCAATTTTATTTAGTACCTCAACCAATTAAATCGCTCCCACCCAGCAACTGTGTTTTAGCCAAATGCACATCAGTTGGGTTCTAGAATTTGAACTCCTTGAATAGATTCAGGTGAGCTCTCACAGAGGTTAAGGAAGGCAATTTGAAAATGAAGCAGCTACTTTAATGAGATTAGTAACCAAATTCAATTTTACCCGCACTAGACTTGTGGCACACAACCCCACCCCGAGTCCTCCAGTTTGAGGGGCTGTGCTAATTCTGTTCTGCGAGATGACATGGAATAGCAGATAAATAAAGATGTCCAATTCCCTATAATTTCTAGGTTATACTATCTCGATTTCTTTCTATGCCTCCCTCTATGCCTTGTCTCTGATATTTCATACACTTTTATAAGGTTTTTTTATTGGGGAAAATGCAACTCTCAAGTAGCACTGTCAAATCTTAAGAATAAACAGTCATTTCTCGGAATAATAACTCCACAAAGGTAGGAAGCCAACATTCAGCAAAAGAAAAAAAATAATACACATCAGTTCTTTCTTCCCCTCTTTCTCCTCCTTCCGCTTTGTGTTTTTTTTTTTTTCCCCCCTGGAGAAAGGGAAACCTCTAACTCCATGCCTGCAAGCAGTTCTTATTCACTGAGCATCTCTGGTAAAACAAATAGAACAGAATGAGGGGGAAATACCCATTGAAGTTCCACTTCGAGAAGCAACTGTCGTGGGGGTTACTTTGTCAGCAAGTGATGCCTTTATTTTCTCCTCAGTCTCAGTCGAGGTGAACTGGGGTCAGTAGGCAGAGGCAATAATTGTCTAAAAACTAGTGACCTCGGGTTACACCCAACATGAAGGGACACGCCCAGCTCCATCTGAAAGCCAGACAACTTACTGTGCTTTTTGTTGTGGGACTTGGCAGGGTGGTCTTGCTCCTTCTTTATATCAGGTGACTCTGCTAAAGAGAAAAATGAGAGCTGCTTAATTTACCTATTTCCTTCATTCATTCATCCACTCATTTAACTGATATTTATTTAGCATGTACTACATGCCTAGTGTCCAAAACAAAACAGAGATAAGTACTATGGAGAAAAATACTGCAGGGAAAGAACTAAGAATGAAAGTATGGAGATGGGACTAATTTGTAATTTAATATAAGGTGGTCACAGAAGACCTCTCGGATAAGAGGACCAAAAGGATGTGTGAAGGAGACAGCCATGCAGAGAGCTTGTGGAACAGTCTTCTAAGAACAATAGTAAGCGCAAAGGCCCTGAAGTCATTGTGTGTTTGGTATGTCCACAGAGCAGGAAGTGGGCTGCGAGTAAGAGGCAAAGGGTAGGAACTGAAGTTCAGATCATTAAGGCTTTGTGAGACCTTTTTAGGATTTTAGCTTTTATTTGAGAGGGATGGAAAGTCATTGAAGGACCTAGGTCATTGAAAGTAGTTTTCTTTTCTTTTCTTTTTTTTTTTTTTTTCCATAGTACAAAAATGTAAACGTTTATGACAAAGAAAAATGGCTTTTAAGCCAAAGGAGTGCCTTTTTTGGCATGCAAAGTTACATTTTAATCAGCCTGACAAAGAGGCCATTGACTGGCCTGAGCTCAGTACAGAGGGCCACCATGGACTATGGAAACACAGATTAGTTTAACAAATAACTCATTATGGTAACCTTTGTGACTATCACCAAAGAGATGACAGAAGCGGATCTGTGAAATAAAACTTCTTGAAAAGAACACTAAATGATCCAGCAGTGTGTGTGTGTGTGTGTGTGCGCGCGCGCGCGTGTGTGTCAGTGGACACTTCAGGTGTAAGGAGGACCAAGGCAGATATTACCTCAAAATCCCATAATTAAAAATCCACCAATTTTAATACAGAGTAGTTTTGAAATGCAAGCCAATTCTGTTAAGAAATTGGGCCAGTGAAATGGATCCCTTCTGCGTGCATTACATCAGAGCTTCCTGATGTAGGGTTCACTGACCCACGCATGTGTGGTCTTTAAGGGCATGGCAGGCTGACTGAAACTACCTGCAAAGGGAGAGGGTCCACAGCATTCATTCAATTGTCAAGAGTGGTCCATAATTCAAAAAAGTTTGAATAACCATTATAGCTCGTAACTAAAATGTTCGAGAAGGATAACTACTGTTTACTGAGCACTTACTATATACCACCCATTGTGCTAAGCACTTTACCTGAATCACTTTATTGAATTCACACAATAACCCTATGAGGCAGGTACTATTAGGGTCCGAAGTTTGTAGCTGCGGAGGAGCAGAGACACAGAGAGGTCAAACGACTTGTCTAAAGTCACACAACCCAAGAATAGAGCCAGGATGTGAACACAAAAAATTTGTACCCAGAGGTTTTACCCGTAACCACTATTCTATGTCATTTGCAAAGCTGGTAGCACATAACAGATTTCACAAAAGTCTTCCCTGCTAATTCTATAATGCTCTAGTTAGTGGGGAAAAGACAACTCCTACGATGATCCCGTATTTCCCACTGTGCATGGACACATCCACCTATCTGACCACATAGATTGTCACGACTCAGGGCTCCCAGCAGTTTCTCTGAAAGTCATGGTGGAATGGAGAAAAGGGATTTAATAAGATCTGGTGAGAAAAGAAACCTCTTATTCTGGTTAAGAATGTCTCCTCAGGCACTGTCAGCAGGAGACCTGCACCTGACTCGGGTTTCTCTGAAATCTAGAAGGACAAATTCACAGGAAATGCAAGGAGACTCCACTCTCCCTCCCTGCAGGTTTCGGGGTGAGGTTGCAACATCCCATCAGGATGTGACAATATTGCAACAGATCTGGCACCCACCCTGATTTCCAAGTGATACATCACTCTGACAGGGCCACGTTGTTCTGCAGACAAAGAGTGGCATTTACCCAGCAGGCCACAAGCAAAGCTCTTCTTCTAATGGCAGCCGGGAGGGGTGCAGGGCCATTACCTCAGAGGCAGGGTTAAATTCAGAAAACCCCAGTGTCTCTCAGCTTATTGGCCTCAGTCGTTGTGTATGATTTCAAGTTGATATAGAATCAATTACTTTGGGGTTAAGGTAACTTTGTGAATAAGATGGAAACCTTGGACCTTGTCCCCAGAAAAATGCAAATATGTGTACACTTACAAAACAATCCGTAAACAATTTCAGGCGTTTGTGGTTCACTTAGGAATCCATGGACTCCAGATTAAAAAACCCCAGACCAGACAGACCATGAGGGAATTCTTCCTCTGTGATGTCAGCTATTTACCTAGGTGAGACCTCTATCCAGCTCAGGAAAGACCAAACTTTTAAAAAATCCCCAAATAAAAATATTCCCATCATCGTACAGAGGAACATGCAGCCAAAGGCAAAATGAAACTTGAATTTCTTCCAGCCTCCTTGTCCCGTTTACCAGTGTGCGAGGGCAAGCTGTGGAATCACTGACCTGCCTTAGCACTAATTTCTTTTATCTGAAACCTCTCTTTCCTATGATGGCCTCTCATCCTCTGTCTTCCCCTCACCCCCGAATAATAGTCCAAACCTTTGAAGGTAACTATACGGTTAAGTGATTCATGTTTATAAAAGAATAGCTTGCTCTGGGGAAGTAGTCCAGCGTGGCTCTCTCTCTCTCAGCTCCCAGACATCTCGGACCAAGGCCCGATGGGGCAGGGGCAGCACCAACGCCACAGGCTTATGATGCAAGTCGCAGATCCTGACTTCAGTTAAGCTGCTTCGCAAGAAGCAAAGATTAGAAGCATTTGCATATGATTCAGCTGTGAGCCATTTCTTTACGGGATATACAAATTTCAGTGTTATAATAGACTGTGCCACCCTAGCTTTAGGCTCAACAAGTCAATGAATAAACACATCAAGCCTGAGTTGGCGTGATTGGCTCAAGGACTATCGGGCAGATCAGGAACACTGGCGGCGGCCATTTTATGAAATGGGTAGATGACAGAGAAATCAAAACAAAGCCGCTTCCCCACCTGCATTTATCACAGAGGGCATCAGTTTATGTTGGGCCTCGCCTTAGCTCAGCTTGTAACTTGCATTAAAACATAGAAAGATATTTAACTGCATTCAATTTAATGGGAGCTTGAAATCTAAAGACTCAGACAAATGACAAAGGTCTTTGTTTTGTTTTGGGGCGGGTAGGAGGGGGATAGGGGTCTGGTCTCATACAATAGAGACTATTCTGAAAGGAATTGATTCATATAGAGCTGTAATTAAATATCCTACTGGAGGGCTGGTACTCCAAAGAATTTGTCAACCCCTGACACTGAATTGATTCTTTAAGCAATAATTCTGATAGAGGGCCTGGCTTGCTTATCTTATTTTCCAGTCCGTGTTACAATTTGGGGATAGGAATGAGGGCTGAGGGGATGGAGTATCAAGAGAGATAATGTAGAGTGGATTTATAAAGCCCATTTTAAGAGGGACTGTTCAAAAATGGGATAGGTAGACTCAGTGAGTTTTCTGTTAATTGCAAATATAAAAGCAGAAACTGGCCTCTAAGTCCTCTAGAGCTTCTGAGATTCTAGAAGGTAAGTCGGGATATAGAAAAGAGAAGAGTGACTTAGCTGTGAGGACGGTAGAGCTGTGATTATGGCTTTTAGGTTTCACAGGTGCCTCAAGACCTAACAACCCCTGAGGCTCAGGAAGTGGTTGGTTCAACTTTATTTTTAGTTGGAATCTTTTGCCATAAGCCAAAGACCCAACCGGAGGGACGTGGGAGGTGACACCTTAGGAAGTGTGCAAGGAAGTCAGAGGGTGAGCAGGGTGAGTTGTTTCTTCAGCTCTGAAACACTTGCTCTTGACTGAGTGGCAACAATTGCCACAGAAATTTTACCTCAGTTGGCTCAGTTCCCCCAGAAGGGCAAACCCATTGAAGAGCCAATGTTTGATCTGTTTCCTAGTTTCAAGAAATACTTAGAATGACACATTATGCTATGAGTCGTTGGGGGGAGGAGGAAAGAGAGAAGTCAATTGGCCTCAGTTCTTAACCTCAGTTCTAGAAGCATTTACACTGGCTCCCAGCCCTCTCATTCTAGGGGCTCAACCTGAACAGAACCTCAAACCAAAAGCTTTCATTATTTCAGTTCTCAAAAACACACTAAAAAAAAAAGAAAAAAAAAAAGGAGGCAGTGAGGGAGGGGTTGTTGTTTGATTCTGTGCTTTCTTTCATAAAGTCATTGAAATCTATATTGCCCCGAATTCAATTCCAGGGAACGTCTAAGTTCCATTTCATACACACAAACAGGTCTACAAGTCTGTACCCAGATCAAGGGACAAGACGACACCCTCTATTCACCTCCCTAGCGCATTCGTTCTTGCACGGTCCATGCCAATGTGCCTATTTATAAAAGGGGGAGGGAATGTAATCTGAAGCCCTTCTCCCAGAATCCCAGCAGTCCAACCTTCTCACTCAGTGTAACAGTGATTGAATCATGGATAGCCACCGCCCTCCCCCCACCCCACCCCTTACACCATAATTCATAAAGTGTAATTTCTCTGATTGGAGAATCCTGAGGTGCCATCGGGGTGAGATTTCAAAAACTGACAAAATAGTATGATTCCTGGGGTTCTGAAAATTTTCCAGTTGCTACCTCTCTACCCAAAGACCATCACCACTGGTTTCACAGAGCTCCGAATGCCACCGTTAGATATTCTTCCTCTAAAGCCAAATATAGTTTGTTGGAAATTAAATTATAAGTTATACTCACATGTGAATAATTTCCCAAAAGCAAGTTTTTGTTAAAAAGAGAGGTTGTTGTCACGAGAGAGTGACTCAGTGTCACAGGAGACATTTTTCCTAGAGTCATCCTTGATGGCCATTTTCAATGTACAAATATTGGCTCAAAAGCAGATCTTTTATAAATAGTAATTCATTCCTTTCCTGGCCTTTTAATAAGAAAGACTCCAGCAAAGTAAAAACATAGAATGTTGGTAATTCTCATTAATGCTCAGTAAGCCCTTGCATGAGGCACACTTAACCTCTGATGTCAGGACAGCTTACCAACAGGAAGGTGACTGGTGGTTGTCATAGAGATCTGGGCCCGGCAGAAAGTTTTGCTGTCCAACAGATCTATAGCAATAAAAAGATAAAGGACATTAAGAACACCCTCCTTGTCATACAACTTTTTGACTGTGAGAAAAACAGAATAAGCGTGTAACGGGGCCTTAAATGTTAGGGAGTTAGTTACCTACTGTGCTACCATAGTTGGTGTCGTATAAGTAGTTCTCTTCTTTCCAGGTGTTCATGATGGAAGGGTCTGCAAAGGACAGAAAATGGGAAAAGTCAGCAATCATCGTCCCTGAGGGAAGAGTTCACCTTTTCTAACTCACCGCTCATCAAAGAAGCTCAAGACAGAGGGGGTCGTCCTCGGAGAGAAGGGGTATGATTCTGCCTCAGTCATATGTTACTTTATAATAACGCTACTCCATGTTTCTTCTAGTGTCCCGGGGAAATGGACTTTGTATGGCTCTCTCCGTGTGGTCTACACCTGTCACATCTCTAGGGGAGTGAGGGAAGTTGCGACAGTGAGATTCTGTCCTAGACCAATGCTCTGGTTTCCTGGAAATTTTCTCAGTGTGCACAGGGCAGGGATGGGTTCAGAAGCCTGGTATTGTTTTGCATTCTACTATATAATTACCAAAATATTTTTATACTACAAAAAGAGAATTGTTAGGGACAAATAAATTTATGATTAATGAGCATCTTTTTCTAGCAATATTCTCCTGGGAGAATTAATGATGTTTCTTTCAGGAAAAGTCTAGTCAGTTTTATCATAGTGTCTTCACTGCTACGATCCAGACAGATCTCTCCTCAAATTGGGTGACGGCCCCCTCTCTCTAGGATTTCCAATTAGCT